TCTTCTAGCCCGACCCCCCGCCAGGGAGGGAGAACAACAAAAAACCCCAAAATACCGATGGCTGATTATTAAAAAGCCATACCAGCTGATACTAATCCGATTGCCAATATGCAGCCTGGCAGCTTGGCGAGCAGCATCTGGCTGGTAAGTCTGTTACGGAGGAAAGAGGGGGAAGGTAGATCGAGGTCCCCCACAGTGAGGGAGAAAGGAGGCTGGGGTAGGTCCCCTGGATCTGTGCTCAGGGTGAGGGCTGGATGCCATTGCAGGCTGGAGTTGAGGGCAGTGCTGGGCTCTTCTAAGTGTGGGGGTTGGCCCAAGGCAGTGCTCAGGAAACATGAAAACCCTGGGAGGGGGGCTGCAAGGTGGGCTATAGCCACCCCAAAATTTGTTGTAGCCCCTCAGAACAGCCCAGCCCTGCACCTCCCCCCTGCCAGGAAGAGCCTGGCACCACCCCTGGTCTCAGCCCACCTTTGCCCCATGCACAGATCTGGGGGGGTGGGGGGCACGACACATACCCCCCATGCCTCCTATGGGGGTGCACACAGCATCAGGAGCCACGCCTCCCTGTGCCCCCGGACAATCTGCTAGTGGCTCTGTACTGCATCCCGCTCCAGCTGGGCAACACCTGCCTCCGCCCCAGCTCTCCTCCTCCCTCACTGTGGGGGACCTCCATTGTCCCTTCCTTTCTCCCACCCCTTCCTCCCCAACAGACTTACCAGACAGATGCTGCTCTCCAAGCTGCCAGTCTGGTTACGTGCATGCTGTGGCTGCGCACATGTACATGGCATTTATCAGCAACATTATTGACCACATCAGCCAAAAAAAAGCTCATTGCCAATAATGTCAGTTTTCCTTTTAGCAACGCCGATATGATACGGACCAATGTATCGGTGTACCTCTATAAGTAAGCCCATTTGTCACTTCCTAAGTTTGGGGTGGAGTAGAATTTGACTTCCTTTTTCCCTTAACAAATGTCTTGTTTTTTTTTAAATTTGTGATGGCTCTGATTTGAGGCCCAGTCTATGCTAGGAAAGTCTTGTGGGGTTTTTTGTTTTTAGTTTAAGGGAAAAAAAAAAAAAAGCTTTACGTGGTGATCTGAAATCTATTGGTACATAGTACAGACAGAGTTAGTACATTTAAAAAAAAAAACAAATCTACCCATGACCTGTAGTCCTCCCCATTGATATTGATCGTAGTACTAATGTACTCTTGAGAGTGTTTTGCAATGGTGAACTGTGTCTATATTAGGTGGTAAGCAGAGTTGAAAAATACTGTTTATTAAGACATGTTACTAATTTCTAACAAATAGAAGTCCTTGTATAAATGATCTTTTACTTCTTCTTGAAGAGTCTGTAGATCATGACTTCTGTAGCACGTAGTTAATATGTTAATGGTGCATGTAGTAAAAATACAGTTTAAATTGTTTAAACAAACAAGTTTCAAATTGCTTGAAGAGTTAAGGGCTGTCAGTGAATTTGACTCTGCTTCCAAGGCCTTGGGTCTCTTCCTTCCCTGATCTTGTGTAGGATTCTGGAGTTCTTGGTTCTTTGGCTGGGATGCAGCTCCCTGTATACTAATCATATGGATTTGGTTCCTCCATGCCTTCCACTTGGGACTTAAAACTAGGAGTGACTGCAGTGACTGAAACAGCCTTTTCAAAACCAGAATATTTTTTAATCTTAACAGCGGGAATAAAACATGTGAAAGAGAAGGACATTTTACTGCAAAATGTCCACAAGCCCATATATCTCTGCCTAAATGTTTAGGTAGGCCTGGCTTATCCCAGGCAGCCCTACTCTGGTTCAGTTAGCTCCCAGCAGTATATCCTTAATTTTTCTTCCTCCATATAGAGAGGAGCCTGCACCATTGTAAAAACTGTCAAGTTCTTTGCCTTCTGTGTCCCTTCCTCTCTTTGCCAGCCCTGATTCCTTCCCCACCTTATGTAGCCCAGGCTTTCCACCAGCTCTCCGTGCTGCACTGCACTGCCCAACCCCCCTGGGACTGAGGTAGGAAGCAGCAGTTGGAGGAAGGAGCGGGAATCTGGAGATTGAGGCTGCTGTTGCAGCTGGAGCAGTGGAGGGTAGTAGGAGCTTGGGGCAGGGGATGCACCTTTACCCCTTGTGTTTATACACATGTGCTGGGAGGGGAGAGGTGTGCTTTAATCAGAGTGGCTCTGGGACTGCAGGGGTGGGGTCTCAGGTGCTCTCATTAAAGTGCCCATAGCATCTTGTGTATCAGTATCCCCATGCTGAAAAATGACGGCAAGGGCACTTTAACTAAAATTCATCCAATAAGCTTTAGTTAAAGTGTCCCCTTTGCCCTTTTTCAGCATGGGGATGCTGATACATGAGGTGCTTAAGGCTGCTGGAATGCAGACTTGATTAATTGAGTCATTACAGCATGTTGGAGCAGCGTCGCTACTCGTGTATAGATGCCCTATATTACTCTTGTCCTGTATCCAGGCACTGCTTGTTTAAAAGGCTATCCTGACTTAATTTTAATTTATTTCAGTCCATGTAAAACAAACTCTTCATCAATTAGATTATGCGATAAGCTATATTTGCAACAGGCAGAAATATTTGTGTTTAATTTAATGTAGATATGCTTTAGGGAGTTAAGTTGTGGCACTGCTCTCTGGATTCCTTAAACTAATCAGGAATGGTTGGCTTGACCAACCAGTATTCTGAAAAAAATGTTTTGTGTTGCTAGCTCCTTTTGTGTGCTGAGGAAAAGTTCCAGTAGATGCATCACCTAAAGCTAAATATTCAAATGGAAAAGCTTGCAAATGCTAGAAATTACATAGCTCAATATCAGGTTTCTTCTGAGGTTTTTGGAGGGTGCTGAGTTAAAATCTGATTTTAGAGTCTCTGAGGCTCAAACTTTAGTATGCATCTGAATTCAGCAGATACAGAGAAAACTTATTGGGATTTATGAGCTTTCTGGGCCTTCAGGTAAAGTGATCTATGAATACAGCCCAAACGTTATGGTATCAATAGCACAAGCTGAGACATTCCAGAAAGGATGGTTATTGTCACACTACCAACCAAGACCCATTACATCTAGATTTTCTCTTCATGTTTACTTTGCTAAATGTAAGATTAGCACTCCAAATATTGCTTCCCTAAAAGACTGCCAAAGAGCAAAAAGGCGTAGTAGTGAGTTCTCTCGTGACCCTTATTCGTGATGACCCTGGCCATATGGGGAGACATCTGTGTAAGGGTACTTCCTTGCTACTCTCTTTTTTTCTTTTTTTCTTTTTTTTTTTTCCAACAATGAAGGCCACAAAGTTGGCAGGTCTTTTGGGGCAAACATCTTGTGTCTTCTCAGACACTCCTAGTTCACAAGTAGATTACTCATGAGAAACAACATGTTTTCCTTTTTTCCGCTGCTCCCTCTTCTCTGCAGGGCTCCTGGTTTTTCCACTGTTTTCCAAAGGTCATCATCATGCTGACTCATTGTCCTACCAGTTATCCTTAGCAGGGTTTAAAGATACAGCTGTGCCACTGATGCTTGTTTGTGGGAATGTTAGATGGGAGAATATGGATGAATAACCAAAACTCATGATTTTTTTTTTTTAAATCCTGTCTAGGATCCTCACAGAAGCAGAGATTGATACACACCTCGTAGCTCTAGCAGAGAGAGACTAACTAGGTCCCCAGCCCTAGTGACTGCTTCAGGCCAAGCTCTTTGGTAAAAATAATACACTTGTTAACGGCTCTAGATCGTGGGTTGAAAACGGCATGCTTGCTATCCAGTGTATTTCACTCTGTACAAATAAAACAGAGGTTTTTTGAGAACTTTGGTGTCTGCTTTTAGTATACTGCATTTAAAACAAACCATGATTTCTTCAATACTTTGAATATAGTTTGGAAAAGCTTTAAATATTTTTGTAATTACCATTTACCTTTTTTGTCTAATTAAGTTTCTGAGGGAAGTCTTGTGACTGATTCATTCTCTTTGGCATGACTAAATTCTTTGACTGTTACTCAAAACATTTCCTTTGGTTCTATGTATATGTCTTACAGAAATATAAAGTAGAATACTGATTTTGCTCACGAGCCCTCCAGCACTGCCACAAGCCAAGATGTTTATCCATATTTTGCTATGGATTATACAGGGTGTATCCACACTGTCTCAGCAGCCTGCCCTGCCCATCTGCTTTCATGTGCAAGGTCAGCACATAGAAGTACAATGGGAAGGTTGGTCATTCCCAGCAAATACTCTTGTGCGCACCAGAGACCGATCTCAAAAGTAGCTGCAGAGATGTTTCTGACCAGTCTCACTACTGTATTTCCTGTTTTGGAGTGTGTGGATGAGCAGCAGCACATCTTGGCTGGGCTGTTCCCATGATGTACCAATTTGACATCTGCACTGACAGAGCTGGGCAAAACACATAAATCTTTCTGTAATGATCAGGCCACCCTTTCCAAGATTACAGATGTTGATTCTGATAAATGATGGCTCTTGTCCAAATCAGTGCTAAAGTTAACAGTGAAGATTTTTAATGGAAAGGAAGCATATTTTATAAACCTTAACTTTAACTTTACATTGTTTTCTACAGCCCCTGTTTCTGCTTCTTGGTTTGAAGCTTTGGGTTTGGGCAATGCAGATGGCCTGAGAGCAGCAGCTGGAGACAGGCAAAGCTCTGGGTCAGGGACAGGCAACCCCTGGCACGAGTGCCAGAGTGTGTCACAAAGGCATTTTGCTTGGCATGCATGCCTCTGGGTGAAGGGTGGGGAAGGGGCCAGGTGTGCACTGCCACAAGAAGGATCGGACCCCTCGCGGTTCCCATGCCATTTGCCTCTGGCACACCAACATCTTACAAGTCGAGGTTGCAGGTGTTTTGGGCACTCTGGCCAAAAACATTGCCTACCTCTGTTCTAGGTAAAGATAGTTATTGGGAAGAGATTCTCCTCTCCCCTTATGATTCCTTTAGAGAAGCAAGTTGAAACAGCAGCAGGATCTTAAGATTTCAGGTGGATTAAAGTGAGGATGAAACTTCATTGATAACTGGGAGCTAAATTGTAAGTTGACAGGAACCATACTATTTGCCTTTTTGTGTTTCAGCCCTCCGGAGACTGTTCTCAAGTTCGTATTTTCAACAATGAGGGCTAGAAACATCCTTTTAAAAATTTGAATGCAAAGTTCTCCTGAAATAACTTGACTCAAGGAGCTGAGGCTTGAAGTTGAAGAAAAACACTTCAATATTTGAGGCTTCAAGTTCTTTATATTTAACCTGGAGTAGCCTCAAATTCCCAATTAGGGTTCATGCCTCAATTGTGCCAGCCACTGTATGAGTAAAGATGAAGCAGATTCTACTTATGGGAGTTCTCATTTTTTGGATTATGACAAGAGATTTGCCAGACATGTATGTGGGAGGACATGACAACAATGCAGGACTGCAAGACAAAAGCACATCAGTTGGACATAAGCTAGAAAAATCAGGAGTGAAATATCTGTCAACACAAACGATCAGTAGGTTTCAAGGAACACTTTCATTGGGATGCATCCCACTTCTTTCAGGCTTGAGTTCAAAAAGATTAAATTAATTGTTTTACTCTGTTTAGTTTTGTGTTTTCCATGTAGAGCTAGGAACTTTTTTCTAAAGCCTAATTTCTAAAGTACAGTTTTGCCAAAATTCTGTTGAAAACTTCACAGCTTCAGTAATATAGGTTGCAGAAAACTCTGGCTGTACCTAACAGCCAGATATTATTAACATTGCCTTGCAAGTTATCCACTGATGTATTGTTTTTGCAGGTTGAAATTCTATTTGTCTGTGTAACATTTATTTATATACACACATACCCACACGTTCTTTTTAAGAACTTCAGTAATTAACACAGAAGAAACACCTATTTATTCTGCCTTGGATCGGTTCATTCACTGTATTTAGTCATAAATCCCTTTGTACATCTTGAAGCCTGAATGCTAAAAGCCATTTTGTGCTTGTGTAGTCTGTCAAAAGCTTGTCTGTCTCAACAGCTGTTCACACAACGTTATAACTTGCATCCCAGCACCCGAGCATACCATACTTCCATGAATCCAAGAAAACTCTGAGTTTGAATGTAAAATGTCTCCCCACCCCTAATAATTAGATTCTATACATGGAAAATTATACATTTATGATAATTTTATGTGTATAGAATCTAATTATTGGGGGTCATCTGAAATCCATCTTCTGCATTGCTGTGGTGGGAAAAGCAGAAGCCAGGTAGCAAGCAGTGGTTGGGGGGGGGG